GGGGCAGGGGTTCTGTTGTGTGCTATATTATCGCACGTGTTATGGTGTATATTCTGCACCCCCTGTGTGTCACTAACCCTCATGAATTAAAAAATTCCATATTTCACTATACATGTAAACTAAATAAACCCAAACAACTTTCTAGTTTCTACCCTGGTAACAAACCTCCGGTCTATTAGTCAGACACAAACACATACTGTACATGCAATCTAATTGACAAAACAAACTATACATGCTAAAAGTTTGAAATGTAACCATAAAACTATTTCAACTACAGTATTTCATATTGCAATATGAGAGTATGTGATATAAATTAGACTACATGGTGATGGTTGTTTTACGATGATTATTGTATAACATTAACTTTTTTCTCTCAACTTTAACTCGTGCACTCACTTCCAGAATATTTGGTTATTTTACTTTTTTACTTGAAATACATGACCTCCGCATACTTTTCTAGTATTATGTAGTTTTTCATGTAGTTTAACAACATATTCAACAGTATTATAATCCGTAAAGTTGCACTATGTCGAACAACTTTTTTTTCAAGTTCAAACAACCCGCCCCCTGGCCCTTCCCCTCCCCCTCATTCATCACATAAATACAACCCATTACTCTCCCCTCACACCCCCTGCCCCCACCCCCTGTGTGTACCCAATAGTGGGTTTGACTGTAGCGGAAATTTAATTAATTATTTTTTCCGTTTACTAAACACTAAACAAATGTTTTAATTGTTTTAAAAACTAATAGTTTTTTGTTTTGCTGATAAAAATGATAACAAAATTACACTGTATTTCGCAATAATGTTACGTAACTATTCATACAACACATTATAGACTGACCATATATTCGGCCCCCTATTCGCTGCCCCCATAACAGTAAGTAAGTATACGCGGCCCTCATTGACTCTCTGCCCCCCCCATAAGCGCAAACATTGCGTCACGTTGTATATGAATGGACGCATCATATGTTGACATGTGTTTTATTAATAGCAAAAACATAATTAAATCGTTTTGTTTATCGAGTTTTTAATTAACAAAAATTTTATTTATAAGTATTTATTATTAAATTATCGCTCATTTTAATCATCATTATTATCGACAGCACCTGTCGTTACCACTCATCACCGCCGAAGACGAACCTATCCATTATCATCAGCGATGGTTAAGGGACAGCGAACTAAAGGCAACGCAAAAGTATGTGTTTTTTTGGGATCAATTAACGCCATTGTCTTAACCTATTGTCCATTCCATGTGTAGCCGGCGTCTAGTGATCGATCGGCCCAACTGTTGGCCACCACAGCGTCGGGCGGTTCGCTCAACACAGTCGTCGGCTTCTCGGCTCTGAGCGCCTCACTGTCCGCCTCCATAGCCAGCGCCGCCACAGCCGCCGATGACAGCACTGCCGCCATCATTGTGGCCGCCAATAGCGGAACCGCTGCGGCCGCCGATGACCTGACCATTGATGCAGACTTTCGGGTCATATTCAAGAAGATGTCTAAAAAGGATTGCATCACTAAAGTCAAGGTATAGGTGTCTTCTGGAGCCACACATTGGTATTGTGTGTTTGCAATGGTATTAACCCTTTTGTTTTGATCATCTCTTCAGGCGCTGCAAGAGTTTCAGCAATTAATTAAAGACAAAACCGAAACTGACGTGAAGTGTGTGTTGAGTCAGTGGCCGCGGACTTACAATAAACTCGCAATTGTATGACTCTCTCTCTCTCTCTCTCTCTCATGAAGCCATAAAACTCTGTGTGAAACT